GGCTATCCCCCCTTTTCGAGGGGATGCACTTTGTAACACTGATGCCTGCTCTGGGACCCTGCGGAGCATCCTCCCCCTTCCCGCCCGCTGGGAAAGGGGGTGCGCGGGGGGCGATCCCCGAGAGCACGGGGTGTCACGGGGGCCCTGCCCAAGGCCCCGACACTCGCCTTGCCCGAGGGCCAGGCACCCCCGGGCAGCGCCCGAGATCGCCCAGCTTCCCCCATCCTGCTGCTTGCCGGGGAGGGACTGGGAAAACTCCCTAAGCCTTGCTCCCTCCGCACACACCCTGTTTGTGCTGGAAAGGCTATGAGGCTCAAAATGAGAAAATACCCCCAGCAGCTCTTTCCCCCGGTGGAAAATTATTTCCTAAGCTGTGGGTCTGCACTTCACTGAGCTCTCTGCTCCCTCACTTCTCACAGAGACCTACTCCTTAGTCAAGGGCGCTCTTTTGTCTTCCCCTCTGCGCTTTTTTTTTTTAATTGTGAAAAAAACTAACCAACCCCACCCAAAACTCGACGACAACAACTTCTGTAGCTATGCAGAAGTGGAGGAAGCAGCACCGCAATCGCGGCAGGGACACAGAGAAGCCGGACCGAGCCGCTCCTCCCCTGGGCCGCGGGGCCGGTGCTGTCCTAAAGATTCAAGTCCTCTCAGGATTTCGGAACAAAGGCAGCCCAGCCCAGCTCCGCCACGCACGAATCTCCATTGTAATCCTGGGCTTATCCTTTCCCCCCCCCCACTCCCCTTTCTTTATGTGCCCTGTTTTCCAGCCTGCAGTTCCTGAAGGTCAGATGGAGAGGTCATAGCTCTGCATCCTCTATAAATAGATTTTGATATTTAGACAGCTATTGCTACTCGATATTAACTTACAGGATAATGGCGAGAGATACCGTATGCGCTGAACCTGTTATTCACGAGTGAGCAGCATCTGTCGAATACAATTCTCGTCTTTTTGCCCTGTTTGGCTCTAGCACACATCAATAGGGCGAAGGACGTCTTGAGGCTGGGGTAGGGACGGGGAGCAGGACGGCTCTGCGGGGGCAAAGTTGCAAGAACAGTGTTGAAACTATACGAGGACTTAGAGAGCTGAAGTTAAGAGCCAGGTCGGCACAGACCGGCTCTGAGCGAGTGCAGAACCAATTCAAGAACGGCTGCATAAAGATTCCAGCGGGCTTTTGACATTTCACATTAAAATATAATGAATGTTGCTGAGGTGGAAGGGTCTTTCCTCCACACACTCACAGCCCTATTTCCCCGATTTCTGACTTTTAAAATAATAGGTTCGAGGTGGAGCTGAACCAGAGGCTCAGTGCTCATCACTAACCCTTTCACTGTTTACAGAGCATTCAAGAGAAGGCAAGGTCTCCAAATGTGGGCAATACTTTGAAAGGAGCACTAAGAGTTCTCATTTCCTTTTCAGAGAGCATCCCCTCTTCTGGTTGCTCCCAAATCCTTCTCTGCCTTTCGCCACCTGCGAGGCAGAAAGGCCTTTACACTCCCGGCCGTCCTGGGTGCCGGCACTTTACTTGGCAGCGCGATTAAAATGAAATTCACGGCCGGGACTCAGGCTGAGACTTTAGAGCAAACCCACGCGCAGCCGGGATGCACCGGGATGCGCCGGGATGCGCCGATCGGGGACAGCCAGTGCTTTGGGAACTGGTGGAACTGGCGGGCAGCGGCGCTGGCCGTGCCCCCGCGGGACGGGGAGAGGAGTCTGGCCAGGCTAAAAATACAATTTTTCCCTCGTTGTGCTGGCTCACGCGCGGGTACTGCTCCCTCTGCAAAAGCTGTTCCCCTTATCGCTGTCGAGACCGCAGTTTTAGAAACTAGTTGTGATCAAGATCTTGTGTAGCAGGACGGGGAAGTACGCAAGCGTTTCCATCTACTTACCTGGGCATGGGAGGGAAGAGGGGGAGGGTCATGAAAGGCGCCGATTGTGTGTGGATTTTGAGGTTAAAAAGAGGTAACCTGGGGAAGGGGAGGGAGGAAAGGCGCTGAGTGGCTTAATTTAATCAATAAAATATCTGAAATAGTTGTCGAGATTTGATTCTCCCGTTTGCTAGTTTAACTTGCCCTTTAATGCTCATGTGTAACATCTGTTACTGTGCGCGTACAACTGCATTTTGGAGGTGGTGTGCGCTTTATTTTGAGAAAAGGGATAATAGCCAAGGAAGAGACAAAATATGCAGTTTTTAGATGCTGCGACTTTCTAGAGCCTTGAGGGTTTACAACCAGCTCAGCAGCAGTGAAACAAACTTGCTGTCAGAAGTTTACCGACGCTCAGGAAGCAGGAGCGCATCTCGCTGCCCGGCCGGGGACCGCGGGCTTTGTTCCGCGGGGAACGAAGCCACGGGAGCTGCCGTGGGGCTGTCCCCGGCCGGCAGGCCCGCTGGCCGGAGAGCTGGCGGAGCACGCTCCCGGCGGGGCAGGTGTCCCCTTCCAGGCCGGCCCGGGGAGCCGCGGCCGCCCTTGGCCCGCCGAGAGAGGCGGCAGCGCTTGTGCCCAGAGCCCGACGGAAGAGGCGGACGCGACTTTTCTGTGCGCTTTTATGGCTTGCCTGCGAGGAAAGGTGCCGTCTCTTTCCCCCCTCGGCCTCCTCCGCCCATCTCTTCTCCCCGGGAGCTCTGGAGGGAGCCGGGAGGGGCCCGGCGCTGCACAGCCGGACACACAGGGACGGTGCGAGGGGCCGGCGCAGCCCCCCCGGAGCGGCAGCCCGAGGGCTGCAGGGCAAAGATCCTGTGCTCCCTCTATCTCGGGGCTCTCTTTGACCTGATGATCTGCTTAGGACGAGCTCTTACAATAGTTTTTCCGTAAGAAAAATCCGAGTTATTGTGAGGTGCAATCCCCATACATTTTTAACCATAGTGATTACAAAATTAATAGCAGGCCCTAAGACAGATGTCAAAACGTCTTGAAAATGTTTATCTGTGAATAATTGAGAAGGTGGTAAGACGCATTATCTGATTGTATAATGAAATATGCATGAGGAACAGCTGTTTGCAATAGTCACCTCCCGTTGTTTCATTAGCCTAGAGCCTCCTCTTTAAAGAAGCGCTTTCCTGAAGTTGGCCATTCAGCGTCCTCCGCTTCCACCGGCCCCGGCGGCCGAGCCGGAGCCACAGCGGGGAAAGGGTAACCCGGTGCTGTCCCTAGGCCGGTCCACGGGCTCTCCCCGCGGCATTTCTCACAGCTGGGCTGCTTCTAGGGCGGGAGGGAAGAGCCGCGGATGGGTCCGAAGATGTCTTGCCGGGCAATCTCAACCTGAAGAGGACGCCCTGAGAGGAAGGATCGTAGATGCTCATGTCGGAAGCACAGCAAACAGCCATTTATTAAGATTTCATGCCGAGCAGCGACAGCCTACTCGAATGCTTAGCGTTGACATAAACTTCCAGACGTCGAGCATATGCTGTTGCACAGCATTGTTTATGTGTGGTACCAGATGTTGCTTTGCATCCTATTGTCTGGAGACAATGTTTAGTTCAGGTTAAAATATCTTTACTTAAACTGCTCAGTTGGCCATTGTGTGAGCATTAGTGAAGTGTCATGGAGAGGTAATGGGAAGTCCGGGGAGGTTAGCTCTCCGAGCATGGCCAGAAGGTCCCTGGTTCATGGTGGGGTTACAGCCACCACTGTCATCTTTTGTTTTCCCTCCTCAGAGAACCCTTGTCCTTCCTCTAAAAGGATGTGCCCCGCTCTCATTCCCTTCGGAGTTTTCTCCACGGTTTCATGAAACGGCCCGATGTTTGTTTTTCTAGTTCCCCTAAATCGCCCGAAAGAGGAAAGCAAAGCACGGTCCTGCGTCACCGCCACTCCGGGCCGGGCCGGTCCAGGCGGAGCGGGGCGGCCCCACGCCCCCGCCCGGGGATGCTGGCGCCGGGGGAAATCGGTCCCGGGAGCAGAGTTCACGCTCGAGCCAGGCCGGCGGCTCCCTCCCCCAAAATGCCCGGCCGAGCCTCCTTCCCTCCCTCCGTCCCTGGCCGGGCGAGCGAAGGGGCGGCAGGGCGAGCGGGCCGGGCAGCCCCCTCCCGCCGCCCGCGGGGAAGCGGCCAGCCCGGAGCCTTTTCTTCCCTTTAACCCCGCAGTTTGGGCCGGCCGCGACAGCTGACCTGTGGCAAGACTTTTGCTCCGGGAGAGAGGGGGGGAAAAAAGCTATAGACTTTAATCGGATTTCTCCCCAAACACTTCTGGTATGTTGTTGTTATGCATCTATATGGAGATCATGATTTATAAATGAGCGAGTACGATCAGTCGCAAAGACTTTAAGAGCCCGGATTTGTGTCATGAAGTTGCGGGCAGGGTGTGTGACTTAGCGGGGTGGTGGCCGGCGGGGAGCGGGACGTCACCTGCCGCCCCTCTTTCCCTTTAGCACCGGCTCACCCCGGGCGAGCTCCCCGCGCCGGAGGCGGTGCGGGCCCGGGGCTGCGGGCCGTGCCCCGCCAGCTCCGTCTTCTCTCCCTGCAGTCTTGCCTAACTCAATGCAGGCAGATTTCCCCGTGTACCAGGTGCCCCGCGAAGAGGTGAGAACATTTTCCAGAATCAGCAGGTTTTGTTGGTCACTGTGGTCCCTACCTTCTCTGCTCCCCGACATTTGTGAAGCCACTTCAGGGCACAGTTAACATCTCTCTAAATGCTCGAATTAAACAAAAAAAGCCGCATTGTGTATTTCAGCATCGAAAGAGGAGGTTTGCAAAGTGATGCACCGTATGATGTAGATGTGTTTGTGCGGTTTTCAGCATTTTTGCCCGTGCATAATCCCTTATGCCTTTTCTTATAGCCCTACACATTACAGTTCATCTGTAAAGATACTGCTTCAGAGGGACCTGTTGCACACAGCGATGGTAATTAGTAACCTTGGTAACAGTTTTAAATAAAGGTTATAACAATGATGTCAACTGTTTTTATTCATCATACCGTAAATGGGGTCTCAATATTATTGT